ATCCTAAGCAACCATTGATAAAGTTAGCTGAAGCAAAGATTTGAAAGAAGCACACTGAAAGCAACATCTGATAATGCAAGTTGAAGCAAACTCTGATGAACATAAAATGAAGAATACTCTGATAGAAGAATAGTCAAAGTAAACTCTGAAGTGGCAACGCTGCAAGCAACCTCTTAAACTTCCAGGGACAAGTTCTGACAGTACCATTGGTCATTTAATGCTAAGACGGCTAACGCACTCAAGTGGTACTATGCACGAGAACATTGGAAACATAAATACCAAGCCAACACGCATCATTAATGCATACACTCTCTTCAAGGCAGTAACGGTCAAGACTGGAAGCTATATATAGAAGATCATTTGTTTCAAAGACAGGTTACTGATCCACGAGAAACATACTAAAGCTCATTGTTTTCATTCTTGTAAACTAATATTGTATAGTGGGTAATTCTTAAGTATTGGGTAACAATCTTAGTAAAAAATCACAGTTTGTGATAAAGCTTATTAGAAGCACTTTGATTCACTACTGTTAAGAGATAATTTTTGTAAGTGTTCCTTGAGAGACCAGTTGGATCAGATTTCTCAAGAGGGCTAGGACTAGTTGAGTCTTAGAGGTGTTAGTCACTTTCAGTTGGCTTGTGTATTGTATTGTTAGTTACAATAGTTTGGTTGTGCATTAGTAATCAATTTGATTATAGTGGATTAAGTCCTCGTTGAGAGAGGCGAAATCACCTTGGCGGGTGGACTGGAGTAGTTTGAGTTTCAAATGAATCAGGATAAAAATACTTGTGTCTTTCCATTAGTATTGTGCGAGAAAAAGGAAAAAATTATTTAACACCCCCCCCCCCCCCCTTCTAAGTGTTTTCTCACCCTTCAAACATATATTAGGATGTTGGTTCATCTGTGTTGTTAGGATGTTTGTCCAATGATTGCCTCAATACCATTGTGTGGATTGAGTGTGTTATTGTGATGTGCTATGATTCCAAGAGGGAATTGATCCTATGGTGGGGATCGTTGGAGGGTGAGGACCCAATGTTCATAAAGGAAGTTTGGTACCATATGCATGAGTCAATGTTGTTGCATTACATTTTATGTGTCATTACATGATTATTAATTAAATGATGTTTCAATGATGTTGTGAATTAAATGATGCTTTTGTGACAATTGTTGATTTTATGATATAATGACGTTGTGAGTAAAGTGGCAATGTGAAGTTTGAGTATAATATGTGATATATGATGAGATGTGAGTTTCCTGATGATTGTTGTTGTAACTACTATATTTATTCCATATATCTTTTGTAATAATTTATGATTACTCACCCTTTCTGTTTTAATGTTGCCTCCACGTGGGTAACGCGCAGGTGATCGCGAATAGCTCGTAGAAGAGTGAAGATAGCTTTGGAGTTATTTAGTGTGTTTCGGTTGAATAAAAAGGGTTTTTCTCTTATATGTAACATCAGGGTTAGGAACACTTGAGTTTTGAAATTTGTTATTTGTTTAAGATACATCTCATGAGTTTTTCTTATTTGTTGAATTTATTTTGATGTTAACCTTGGATAAGACCAAAAGGTCTTGATGTCTTGAGGAAATAAATGAACTTATGATTGAGACTAAGATTCTACTGCGAATTTTAAATTTATATTTTGATGTTATCAAATAAATAATTGTTTGAAAACCAGTGTTAGGGAGCCAGATGTTTATTTAAGATGTTTGTATGACGATGTGACACCCTCGTTGGTGCTTTGTGTTGATTTATTTATTAATTTATTCATGAATTAATCTTGGGGTTTAGAAGGATCCTCACTCACACGCTTTTTGGGAAACTTCCCAGAAGATCACCCATCCAAATACTACTCCAAGTCAAGCACACCTAACTATGGAGTTCTTATTTGTTAGGATACCAAAAGTAAGATGCACCTTGTTGGTATAGGTAGTATCAATAAATCCTCATAAGCTGTCTTTCAACCATGCAATCCCATACTTGCACAATCTCATGACCTCTCTCATTCCAATTTGAATTTAGTTTTCGCCTAGAAGCTGCTTATGCCTCATGCATCGACAATCACTCCCCGCCCTCGTTAGTTGATAGTATCGATCAATCCTTATAAGTATTTATTCAACCATGCAGTCACATGCCTGCACAACCTCAAGATCCCTCTCATTCTTATGTGAATTCGATTTTTGCCTAGAAGCTTCCAAGAGCCACTCATTATCATGCCATATGGACCGAGAAACACTTCCCTCCCTCGTCGGCCTCGGGTGTTATACCCTATGAGGCAAATATAAATGTTGTAGTTTCACTAGAAGATCCAGTCCACCTCAAGAGGTGATTAAATATGTTAGAAATTAATTGAAGGATCCATGCCACCCTACGAGAAAAATATATTATTAGATTGTTGTAGAAGAATTTTTTACGCCTTAATAGCCTGGTCTCTCAATTCCAATACTATGAATAACTGAAAGGATATTACGCTGAGAATTCCATAAACAAAGCATCAAAGGCGTGAACATAGCCATTAAGAAAAATACCTTTACAAAATTTCCTACAAATGGAGAGAATACAAGTAACGTACTGAACATAAAGAATTAAACTCATCCCCAGAAGTTCTTGAGGGAATCACCCTCTAAGGGACTCAACTAAAGTCTCGTTTAAGGGACTCAACTAAAGTCTCGTTTTAGGGACTCAATTAAAGTCTTATTTAAGGGACTCAACTAAGTCTCATCTATGGGACTTGACTTAAAGTCTCTCCTAAGGTATTTGACTTAAAGTCTCGTCTAAGGGGCTCAAGTAAACTCTCGTATGAGGGACTTAACTAAAATCTCGTATGAGGGACTCAACAAAATCTCATCTGAGAGACTTAACTAAGTCTCGTTCGAAGGACTCAACTAAAGTCTTGAATGAAGTACTTGACTTAAAGTCTCATATAAGAGACTAAAATAATGTCTTTCTTGAGGGGATTGACCTAAAGTCTTGCTTGAGAGACACTACTAAAAGTATCATATGAGAGAATCAACTAAAGTTTCATCTGAGGGACTCAATTAAAGTCTTGTCTGAAGGACTCAACTAAGTATCATATGAGGGGCTCAACTAAAGTCTTGCTTGAGGGACTTAATTTAACATCTCATCAGAGGGGATCAACTAAAGTCTCGCCTAAGGGACTTAACTAAGTCTAACTAACCATCGCCTAGAAGGATCTCCTAAAACATTCGATGCTAAGATAAGAATAAAGCCTCGTAGAGATTCTTCAAGAAGTTTCGAAGATGAGTTATGGGCTAAAAACTTCGGCCTCTACGAGCCCTCGTGCTCGAAGGATTGTGTAGTGGTATAATACAGAGAGACTTGAGGCGGGAGAGTGGCACATGCCTAGTTCTTCGTCTTTCCCGAGTCTCCATTTCATTAGTTCGAGTGTCCCTCTTTCAGTTCAATCACCCTTAGTACACATGTATCGCCTGGACCTCTTATTTCTTTGTCCATAACGCGTAATTGTGTGTAGAGCGTATATCGAGTTAACCGACGTTACATAGGAAATCATGAAACTTAACTACACTTCCTTTATTTCAGGGAATCAATCACACATTTTCGTGGTGGTTGCTATATTCTAAGGAGACTCGACTTAGTCCCCCAAGACTATAAATACATTAATATCATAATTGAAGGACAACCAATAACATAGAGAAATACATATATACAATAGCTTCTCACCTTACATAAGCTAGATCTCAATATCCTGACAACCCTAAAGTCTCTGACAATTCTTATCTACTAGGGGTTGTCAAGCATTTTATAATGGTGAAAAAGTACAATTGTGCATCTTACCCCTGCAAGGGCAGGGGCACTCATAGGCCTTAGTATTATATAACAAATAGTGGTTGTTGGGGATTACCCACGACAATGAGATTCCATGTGCGGTGGTGTTTACGGTGGTTTGAGGGGGACCTACTCACATGAGGTGAGATGTTTCGTATATGTGTTGGTTGTTTGTGTATAAGCGTATTTGTGTTGGGGGAGAGGTATTTATAGAGGGTTTGGGCCTAAGGTTTCTTTGGGATAGGTCACCACCCACCTTGTCAATGTGGGACCATTAAATCCCTATTTTCAAGGGGACGTGGGTCAATTACTGACCCTGACTTCTCTCTGTCCAAAAAATGTCTTATCCCATGTTTTGTATAACTGCATGATAGGGAAGTATTGGTGGGCGAGACGGTACCTCCCTGAGAGCAACATATGATTGTCACCTTTCTTAGAAAATGACTTATGGTGATCGCCCTAACCAAATCTTTTACAAATATAACACTATACGTTTGTATTTTTAGCGAGAAAAGATTAAATTTTCAAATTATTTGAGATTGTCGTACTTTTTTATCAATCACCAATATATTATTAAAATATTAATAGTTGGTCATATATATATATATATATATATATATATATATATATATATATATATATATATATATATATATATATATATATATATATATATATATATATATAAAAGGTTGTCACTTGAAATAAGAAATAATAACAAAAAATTTTAAGCTTGTTTACCATAATAAATATTATTTTAAAAAATATACCAGTTATAAAAAAATGAAAGAAAGTATTCTTAATAATTTTATAATTTATTTCGTTTTAAGAAAGTGTTATTTTTTCAACCAAAAATATCATAATAAACACCCTAAATTGAATCATTGTTATTAACGATTGAAAAGAAGAAACTACAGAGACCTAAGTCAAGTTGCAAAAGAAGAAGCACCACAAAACGTAAGATAGTTAATCCAAAAATAGAAAAGTAACGAGTGATAAATTATGTATCTATCTGTAAATTGAAATTCTAAGTTTAGTAGCAACAAACAAGGGTTTACCATCGAATAAAATTGAGGTAAAGCGCATCTCTCCCATTGCGAACAATCTAATTATATTTCCTCATGGTTGGTTATAAAGACGAGCATGAATTTATTAGTTTCACAAAATCAAAGTGAATCCACATAGAAAAAATGGAAGTGACAAAACTGTTATCTCTATTTGCTATATACTTCATTTTATTACACGATCAAATTACCTTTGTAGAAGGCAATGATAAAATCAACAAAGTATGTGAAAAAACACCTAACAAAGATCTATGTATCCAAGTCCTTACTTCGGATCCAATGAGCGAATTCGCGACTATACCAGACCTAGCTATGATATCACTAAGAGTGGCCGCGGCAAATGCAACAGGGATACTAACCGATGTGAAAATGATGATCGATGATTCGGATTTGGAACCCGAAGTTCAACAAGGTTTGGCCGATTGTAAGGAGACGCTATTGGACGCGGAAGGTCAACTTGAGGATAGTATCGCTGCGATTTTGTCAAACGCAAAGAATGATATTCAGTTATGGTTGCAAGCAGCATTGGCTGCAATTGATACATGCGATGCTTCTATTCCTGGTGATGATGATATTCTCTCTAAAAGAAGTGTAACATTTCGTGAATTGTGCAACATTGCTGTTGCCATTAGTAAGAATTTAGCCAATGATGATCAAGTCTAACTTACATTATATTGTTTACTATCTTTGGCTTCTATTTTTTATTGTTCAATTTCTTGTGTTTTAAAAACTACAAATGTCACATTTATTCAACATTCAAGTTTTGAGTTTTAATTGAGAGTAGAAATATTAAAGTATTGTACCATATTGTATTGAATTTGATCATAAAGCACGTCATCTATTGTGTAGGCAAAAATGTTTGATTGGGGTTTATTTCTCTCTTAATTTTTTTTGCTATAAGCTTTCTGTATAAACGTTGTTTGCATCAAGGTAAAATTAATAACTCAATGCAACTATTAATACTTAAAATAGTTATTATGCTTAATAACTAAATACAACAGCGATTAAATTTTATCAATTTGATTGTTGGATTCTTCGAACTGGTTCGGATATGAAACTTCTACCGATTCAAATTAAACTGCAGTTGTTATTAATAGATTATTTTTGTTCATTTTTTGTTTGGTTTCTTCGGGTCGCCCGAATGATGAATTTTTGGATTCGATTTTATTGGATTTCAAGTTTAAGTTTTAAAATGGCAAATTCAAATAAAGTTTATTGAAAGATAAATAAAGATGATTGAAAAATGCTCATGTTGTTTAAATAATAACAATCCAAGGAGAAAGGTGATAAGTGACTCTTGAATCTATCTTCAACTCGTCGATTCAATAAAAGTGGGTGGCTGAAAATGGCTTCCAATAGCTTACAAATAATGACTTTTTTTTAAAGTATTTTGTAAATTTAAAAACTGATATAGTGTAGTACCATTCTGACGTGTTTTTTAATTTTCTCTTTTACATGCGTTATTTTAATTTTGAAATGATTCTCTTTCTCTAATGCAAGGTAAAGAAAGACAATAAAAAAACCTTATAAATTTTGTAAATAGTTAGTACTATTAATAAAGTAGAGTTAATAATTACTCTCAAAATTAAAGTTATATAAACATGTGAAGGGTAGATATAACAGTGAGAATAACTCAGCAGACAGGTCTATGATCTAATCTATTTAAGATCAAATTAAGTCAGATTTATTTATTAAAAAAAGTTAGATATAAGTTTTTTAAAAATTTTATTTAATTAAATAGATCAGACTTAAACTATTGAAAAATTTATAAAATTTTATAAATCAGTCTATATTTTTATATTAAAAATAATTTAAATAAGTCGATATATATATATATATATATATATATATATATATATATATATATATATATATATATATATATATATATATATATATATATATATATATATATATATATATATATATATATATATATATATATATATATATATATATATATATATATATATATATATATATATATATATATATATATATATATATATATATATATATATAGTTAAATAGATTGAAATATATAGATATATATATTACAAAAAGTGGGATGATCCTCAACTTTGTGTTTTATCGCAATTGTTGCGGATAGCAAGAGTCGCCATCGAATTTTCTTTTATCCAATAAAAGAAAGGGTGAAAAGAACAGGAAAAACCTTTTGAAAATTTTTCTTGAGTTCGGGGGATAGGTTATGAAAAGGGAATGTGTTAACACTCTTTTCATCCGTAGTTATCTACGGGCTCTTAGTTGCTAGCTCACTTTGAAATGCTTTGTAAATGTGTTTGTGGTTTGTTTTGAAAGTATTTTTGAAAAATGCATTTGTTTAGGAAAACTTTCTATTGATTCTCGTCTTTATAAGAATGTATACAAAGTGTTGACTTTTTTAAAATATATCATGAAAAGTGTCGGTATGTTTGAAAGATGTTTTTGTTGAAGTGTTTGTGAGCAAGCAACTACGAGCGTTCTACCTACTCAAAAAGTCTTTGTTCTTTTCCTCCTCCTTTAGATAGTGTTATCTCACCATTAGTTAGTAAGAAACCATATCATTGAATGTGAAGGGACAACCGTGGGTCATCGTACAATCATAGAAGGTAACATTGTAAGATACCTTAGCAATTTGTCGTAAGGGACTAAGATTGTTTACCTAAGGCAACATCGAAGGGTCATCGAGGGACTACGATATTGTAATTGAGGGTCTTTGCTAAAGTATCTCACGTTCGAGGGACATGATTGTTTTATCTGAGGCAACAAGTGTGGGTTAACCCTAGAGGTGAAGTGTGCAAAGTGTATTATTTTCATGTATTTTTGTCTTGAATTAGGGTTGTCTATTTGTTTAATTTTAAATCTTGTCATACAAACCCTAGTTACTAGCAATAATATTGAAAGCGATAAATTGCGGAAATTTAAAATCCTACGCTATTACATCATTTTAAGGGATGGGGATTTACAAATTACAAATGGGGGGATGACAAATAAATAAACCCTAACTGTTACAAGACTTTGACAATTACATTATAATGTACAAAATAATAAAATGTATAAAGAAATATAAAAATAAGAAAAGAGAAAAAGAAAATTGTTTTTGTTTGGTTTTTTTGATAGAAAAAGATTTTTATGATTAACCTAATTAATTAATTAATTAAATTCTAAGTTAATTTAATTAAAAAGAGCAAATTAAAATGAAAACTTAAGTCTAAATTTATCTTAATTATTTTAAGAAAGAAAAATGTTTTTAGGACTTTTTGTTAGAAAATAAAGTAAAGAGAAAAATAATAATTTTTAGTGTAAGTATATGATAAAATATATTTTTTGTATTTTTAATAAGAAATGATAAAAATATTATAAATTAAAAGAAAATAAAAATAAAAATAAAAATTGAAAGTTAGGGGGGTTTGGAAAATAATGTGGAAAGTCTGAAAGTAAAAAAAAAAAAAATTGTTTTTGTTTAGGCCCAAGGCCTATTTTTTTGCAATCAGAAAAAATAATGAAATAAAATAAAAACATGGGCCTGCGTGTTTATCGCAAATAGGGGGTGAGAGGAAGCAAAATGAGAAGGCCCGTTGATGAAGAGGCCCAGGCGCGTGCTGCAAACAAAAAAGTGAAACAAGGAAAAAAAAAGAAGGAAAGGTCTTGCTGGGACTCGAACCCAGGACCTCCTATAACAATGCCTTACGCGCGCGCTTCTTACCACTTGGGTGGCTGTTTCATCCAGTTATAAAACATGTTGCAATAAATTTAAAATAAACTGGATTCATGATATCAACTTCATCTTCGTCCTCGCGCCAAGTCTGAACAACATTTTTTAATTTTGTATCTTGCTCATTTCTCAACCATTCTAAAAAGTGTAAACGTCAAACGTGTTAGAAATTTCATCACGATTTCAAAAATGTAAATAACTAAAACTAACACTCAAAGATGAGCACGAATTTTAACTGGTACCAATTCTGACCTAATTTTTTCATAAAAATGCAAACCTAAAATTCACATCACTCAAGCAATATAAATGAATTCTAAGGGCATGGTTAGTTTCAGGGCTATGATGTCTACACTTTATCTTTGAAAATGGAAGTCAAATGATGCATGTATGAAGAGTTAAAAAATTTGAAAACTCACATTGAAAATGGAAATCGTGTTTTGAGTTAGAGCTCACTTCAAGGTGTTGTAATGGTCTGATTAGCTTCCTTGAACCTCCAGGAAGCTATTCCAATAGTTACTTTGGATTGAGAGTGGTTGAATCTTCGTGTAGAAGTCAATGAGCAAGCTTCTGATTTTGGAAATGGAGGAAGGTGAAAATGGAGTTACAACAATGTAACATGTGTTTGGTTTGCTTCTAAATGATGTATAGGTGCTTTGTGATTTATTTTGAGGAAAAACGCACGAGTGATTTATGAGATGGAGGTGCAAGGTCAGAATCTGCAAAAAAAAAGGTGTTTTGAGGAAATTTCTGGCTTGAGTGAGTTTTAGAGAGTTTCTAAGCTTGCTCATTCGTGTCCTTAGTTGCAAAATAGTGTCTCAATTTATAAGAGAAGGTTTGAAGGCTTAAGGTGGTCAGAATCACAAGATCACATGTTTATGGATTTTGACTTGTTTTTGAAGCAACCTTGACAAACATTTTTCCAATGCATAGTACAAGGCTTGTAGGGTGGCTAAGAGATTTAAAAATGTTTCTTCTAACTTTGTGTGTTGAGTTTATGCAGAGGAAACAAGTTAGAGGCTCCATACAAGTTGACTTTGTGATTAAAGTCACTTTTCCAAAATAGAAGTGTGAAATTTCTTCCTTAAATGGCAAGATGTATTGGACAATGCTTAAGTCAAGTGGTTTATAGCTCAAAATCTTGTGTGATCTTCTAATTAGAGATAGATAAACAAGTTAGAAGGTATGCAAAGTGATATTGTACAACATGGCTTGGAATTTGGTTATGTGTTCTTCATAAAAATGACTTGAAAATCAAGAATAGATGCCTAACTTATTGCCTTTGATTCTCTTAGCTCAAGTATGATCTCTTCAAGTTCTTTGACATTTTGGAAATATTGAAACATCCTCTACAATTTTCATGTTTTCCATTTTTTCTAAATCAAATTGGAGCTATGTGAAAAATGGCCAAGAAGTTGGGACGAAAAATCTGCCTAAACTAGGTCAAAATTTCACTAAGTGTTTAAGAAAAATTGCATGACTTCATGGGCCTATAACTAAAAATCTAAGCATTTTTTTTTGGGATATGATCCCTCTATTACAAAGTTTTATATCTCATCAAGATATACAACTCTCATGTGGAAAGTTTCCTTTGAATCATCTTGCATCTTGGTGAAAAATTGGCATGAAGTAGTGAAATTATCATGTACAAAAACACTTAGAAAAATTTCTAAGTCTTGAAAAGTTTGACTTTTGAGTTTCTTGATTTCTTGATGATAAAGCTTAATATTTTTGAATATCTTGATGAATTTTGATCTTTAAAACTTAATGTTGATCAAAAAGTCAAAGTTTGACTTTTGGTGTATCAGTTGACTTTTCATCAGTTGACCAAAAGTTCAACTATCAGTCCATTGATCTTGAAAGATGATTTTAGTCATGAAATTAGGTCAACATGTTGTGTTGGAATCCTTGATATTTTGCTTCAAACCATTAGATCATGTTTTAGGTCAAA